TTGTACAGTTTTAACAAAAATCCCTTGATTTTCTATAAAATTGCACAATGCACTGATAAGACCTCTTTTAGAATTCAGCTGTTACATGTGCAACTGGATTACAAATTGCTTTCCCTTTTTGATTATAGTTTCTCAAAACGGTTTTGATTTTTTGAGCCGGTGAATGCCAGCCTGTTTCAAACCCACGCTGTTTTGCTTGAGACATGAACAGTGAAGGCAACGGGATAAGCTTCTGTCCTACAGTATAACATTCTTTTAATAAACATGAAAATGCCAGAATTCTGATGAAAATCCAAAGAGATTTTACTTATGCAGGCAGACTTTAGAGAATTTTAAAGCCTCAGTATTGTTGCTTTTTCCCTGCAATATTAAGCTGTCTGCACAAATGAGAAGTCCGGGGGAAACTTTTTATCCCAAGGAATGTCATTTTAGTGGAAAATCTCCCAAAACATACTTAAGATTGCCAGACAGAGATTTCCACTACTGTCTAGTCTAGGAGGGAGGGCAGTTGAGTGACCATCATCAGTTAAACGTTGCAGTGCAGTTTCTCCAGCAGCTTGATTGTTAGGTACTGGAGCCAGGAATGTATAAATTGCACGGGACAAGACAATGCTTTGTGGTTTCCAGATGCTGAGCACTTCTCAGGCCAGAGGTGCATTTTTGGCATGCTTCACTTCTTAGTAACATTTTCATATAAAGCAGTGCATACAGTACATTGTCCAGATGCATCCATTTATCCTGATAGTTTTATATTGCTGATCGATATACGGAAATGCAGAAGAAACTCAAAGGAATCTGAACCCTTTTAATCCTGAATGGAGGAGACTACAAAAGAGGAAAACAGTGGAAAACGAACCAGAGGATACTTGTGGATACTAGTGGAAACGATGTGATGGTGCCTTTGAACCCAAGAACAGGGGGCAACGGGGGCCAACAGCCATGTTGTTGACGCAGATGACCTTGGTTTCTTTCAGGACACTGCTGGATGAGATCCTTGCATCAATGAACTACTAACTACCAAACAGCTAAGACGGGTCAGATGGCCTCCTCTTATCTGTAACCTTTTCTTATGGACTTGTGGGTTTTTTTTTTCCACACAAAAAGAATATCCTTCTCCTCACAGAGCCACATCATATCCTGGACCCATTGCCAACTTAAGGAATCAGGCCCTTTTCTTCCCCCCCAACTTCTCTCTTTTCTCCATCTCCTCGCAGATTACGCTGTCCCCTCCATCCACACAAGAGGTTAATTCACTCCTTGATCACATTATTTCCTCCCAGCTCTTTGACAATATAAAAATTCAGAGTGGACAGCTCAATCCCTCTTCCATCTCAGATTTGATTGTAATGATATTGCCTTTTGTCCCTGGGAGGCCTCCAGCTGCATTTTGTGCACTTTATGACACTTAAATAGCCAGGCTACAATTTTTCCATCTATTCAAAAAATACTGTTAATAACTCATTCTGAACGAGACTTTTCCCTTTCTGCCCCTGTGCTGCTGGATTTTGTCCCGCTTTATGTGGTGCAAGACAAGTTTCTATCCAAGGACTGTAGCGAAAGGGTTAATTAATCTCCTTGAATTTACAGCAGTTTTTTTGTAACATTGCACTCAGCATGACAGTCCCTAAGAGACACAGACACCATATTTACAGCCTTGTTAAAGTATTCAGTAATGTACAGTAGTCTGCATAGACTGACCTCCTCCTTTCCATCTAACTTTACAAGTATATCCATTTATCAGCCATGATGGATTTGTGTAATATATCTCAGCCTTTTCATGAGATCACAGTAAATAATAAAATAATCATTTACTGATTATTCAAAAAGGTGAGGAGTATCATAATGACTTAGTACCAGACCATAGGGCCTGCAATAAATAAAACCTAGAATACAAATGCCAGCACTGAAGGGCCGTGTAGAACACCTAAATTACTTCCTCCAGCCCAGTAATATCTGGATTAAACATGACATAAAGAAGAGGTGACTGGAGTGAAAAGAACTCCCTGTCTTATTTCAAACGAGGAGATTAAAATGCATGTGCATACATTTCTAGGCTGCCCACAATTTATTAACGCAGCTGCAGCAAAGGCAAGGGATTTGGGAATGATTTCTGATTTGCTCAGAGAAAAAGATGGAGGCAACTTTAAATAACGTTTCGAAATTCCATTTCTTGGGCCGAGGAGCGACCGTAATAATTTCGGTCTTACTTCCAAGATGAGTCAGGCAGAAATATATCCCTGGAAACTGAAGCCATGCATGAGCATGACCAGGGAAGTCTGAAAGCCGGGGAAACATTGTGCATCCTGCCTTGTGCTGCAGCAAGTGCCTGTGTTGTCCAATAACCTGAACTGGGTGCAAGAGACTAGGATTGTCACAGATGTCGGAAATGGCATGCCGTGGAATGGCCAAGAGAGCAAAAAGACCCTATGAGTAGCGGCAAAACAGGGATTAGCCCAGGTTCAGGAGGTCAGACGATGTTGAGAAGAAACCTAGGCCCTAAGGAAGCAGAGGAGACCTGGTGCTAGGTAGGTCTCAAGAAATCCGAACCCTCAATGCTGAGTAGGAACAGGACAGAGTAAGAGCGCCCTCTAGCTGTAGAAGGCATGACAGTACTGCCCCCCCCTTCACGGGCAGCTCCTGATGCCCAAAAAACAAATGAGCTGCACAGCACCGGGGGAAGGAAAAACCTCATTTAACTGAAAGGAAACCTCCGGGAGTCCATGGCAAAGAGCTGTCCAGTAAAAACCTTTACTGGGTAGAGGAAGGGTAGGTGGACAATTTAGATCACCCAGTCTGGTACGCCATGGGAGGAAATTAAAGCCCATGGAGAAAACGAAGACATGGAAAACTTGCAAAAACTGCATTCAGATACACCCAAATAACAGAGGACAAGTCACTGGGGCTGTGATATGAACCATTAGGCTGCTCCTGTCATTGTGCCAGAGCAGTTCAATTAAATTTGGAGTTTGTTGAGGAGGGGTGTGATCCTGGCTACAACAGAAATTAATAATAGAAAGAAATAAGAATGCAGCTACCTTCTGGTTTCAAAAGTGCCTGTCCTCAGGACACTGTCCATGACCAGGTCAGGATACAGACAAATCAAACCTCACACCACACCTATGCTATAATTAATAATAGTCCATTGCAATTATACAGTGCTTTTCATCCCAAAGAATCACAAAGTGTTGAGATATAGAATGAGATCCATTTCATCACCTAAATGCTGCTATGGACAGCAGTTTTCAAGTCTTTTCTCAATGGGGTGAGAACTTTGACTGGGCAACTCAAGGACATCCATTCCTTATTCTTTAGCCACTGCAGTGTAGCTGTGGCCTTGTGCTTTGGATCTTTGTCATGCTGAAAGATGAATATTTGTCCTAGTTAAGGTCTGAACCACTTTGTCCTCCAAGAGGTACTTTGTTTCCTCTGTGATTAAAACTTAAATGCTGTGCTGTAAACTCCATGCAGGATGTCAGAGGGTTTTCCACTCTGCCATACAGTCTAGCCTTGTGGAGTGGGATAGTGTAGAATAATGTACATTTTTTCCATTTCAACCACTTTCCTCCTTACCCAGCTGCTTCTCAATGATCGACTTCACCAATATCAAGAGATATTAAGAGTCTTTGAAATGTTCTTATATCCTTCTCCTGATCTTTGCCTTTATACGGGTTTAGCGTTGAGTTTTCTGAAAGCTCCTTAGCCTTCACAGTTGAATCTGCTTGAAATTTATTGGAAGGACCTCGTCTCGTGGAGACAAATGTATTTATTTTGAGATCATGTGAAACACAATTCTTGCACACAAACACACTCCACTCAACTAATTTTCTAGATTGTTAAAGTAATTACTGTTTGTGCACTTACTCTGTTGAGGTTTGCCACAGCAAAGGCTTAGAATACTTATGTACAACTTTTCAATTTTTTGTTATATGAATTACGTTTTTTTTTTCTTTGAAGATGTGGAGTAGATTGTGTATATAACAAATATGAATCGATACATCAAAGAGTAGGGACAGCACATATTAAAATGCAACAAAATGTGAATACGGCAAGGTTCTGCAAAATTTTTCAAGGCTCTTAATAATACTCCATAAATCTATTTTGGATTAGCATTTAGAACTTCTTTCAAGCTTTTTTATATTCATGTAAATACTGTTTATATAGAGAAGCAGGTGTTCAGGTACATGATTAAGCTTTTTCTTGTTAATACACAAATGATCTGAATGCCTTTTTTCATTTCTGCACACAAACCACAAAAACAACAAGAAAGTTAAGAGTAAAAAAAAAGAAAGTGTGAGATAAAATAAAGCAAAGATATATTACAAAATTGCCACGTACACTAAAATAATTATCTGTTTTTACACATTATACCTAGCAATTTACGCAGACCCTTGTTACAACAAATAAAATGCTGGTAAAAGAAAAAGAAACATTTGCAACAAACTGCTTTTGTAACTTTTCACACCTGCGTTTGCCTGAAACAAGAAATACAGGTTCATGACATCCGGGTAGCAGAACGACATATTGTTACAAACACATATACCATAGGATTTTATAATGTATTCTGCATCGTCGCCCGATTCAGAAGCACAATAAATATGTATATTACTGGGATTTTCTTTTTTTTTTCTTTTTTTAAATGATAGATGTGATCATGCAACTATGAAAATCCTGTCTGGTTATTAAAAGCTACTTCTTTACTGGACTGGACTGGACTGGACTGGACACCGGTCATCCGGGACCAGGACTGGAGACCCCCGCGTCTCAGGAGTAACCGGCTCCAGTCCTGTCGGCTGCTTTGCTGTAGGTTGCTACAGTATAGTTATCTTTAAGCCAGCAGTTCCCACAGACACAAGACACCACTGATCACCTTGCCTGACTCCGGCCGCAAACGCCCAGCCTGCGGACGCAGAGACATAGTTACGGTCACCCCAGTGCGCGTGTCCTGCTCGACCAATCACAGAGCGCAGCTCCCGGGGTCATAGGTCGAGAAAGCGGAAGTTGTTGGCTGCTGCCGGGAGACACGCAGTAGCACCAGGAAGAGAGAAGCACTGCGCTCGAGTGAGGAGTACAAATTGTCTTTGTGGAAGAAAAGTTGCAGAGTCTTCGCTGAATTTCCATTTAAAATGGATTGGTCGTGTTTCAAACGAGAGCGTGAGGCGGCTGTTGTTAGAGTGTCATTTAATAGTAACTGAATAATTTGAAGGAATAGTGTATGTGTCCTAATCCCGGAAGTGTCTGTTCTTTTCCATACTGTCAGTAGAAACAGTCGCTTAAGTTTATTTGCACACATTTGTACATTGTAAAAGGCATAAAGGTTTTAAAAAAATCAGAAAACCCAAAATAAAGTGTCCATTCTATTATGGACCGTAAATGATAAGGTTAGGAGCCTTTCCTTTTACGAAGAACATGGCACGATTAAGGGCTGTGCAATTATGGTTGAATGTTTGTTTTTAGTGCGGTTTGCAAATGTGGACGGTTTAAATATATGTGTCAAGGACGCCAGGCATTTCAGATGCAACTCCCAGATCTGTTGACGTAAAGTGCACAGGTAAGGCCGGAGTGGGTGACCGTGCCATCAATATGTAATGACGTGGTCATCGATTAAAGAACCAGCCACCAGCAGAATGGAAACAGGGCACGGTTAAACTGTCCCTCTTTGGATCTTCTCGAGAGCGGCGTGTTTGTAACGATATCATGGAACAACATATTTTCACAAATTCGTTTAAAAATGCCTAACTAGATAAGAGGGGTTTCGTTGCTTGGGTTGTTGGGTTGGGAGCGGTTGAGCACAACAGTATGGTACATTATAAGCAGTTCAGGTGGGGAGCTGCGTCAGCATGCGTAGGCTGCAAAGGAACAATAGGTTAATTCCATGCTGAAAAGAGAAGAAAGAAAACACAACTTTTCGGCCGTGGAGAATTCTTCAGGTGTATGTGGTATAAGTACTAGGCAATTGATAAAGCCCTGAATCCAAAATTACAACTTTTTGCTGTTTTGTCTCCCTTATGTTCCTTACATGGGCTAATCTTAGATTGCCAGTTATTATTCCATTCATGCCATCAGTGATAAATAGTATCTCTGTTTTCTTTAGCTTCCATGCATACGGTTGGTATTGGGCCGTTCAAAGCTCGACGCGAACAATGAGTGCCAAGTTTGGACTGATAGACATGAAATACAACAACTCCAGGAAACACATCTCCATCTCTATACCCTCCTCCACGACTGAAGCCATGTCTCCTCACATCAAGTCTGTGGAGGAGCTGCGAGTGCTGGGGATCAATCTCACCAGCTTCAGTCAGCCAGCCCAGTTTTTCATCTGTGTCGCAGGAGTTTTTGTGTTTTATTTGGTCTACGGTTACCTGCAGGTAAGCCCGACCTGGGGAACATTATGAGATGTTTGGCTTAAGATATATCTATTCTATGTTTCGCCCTCACAGATTAGAGCAAACACGTTCGTGGACTTTCTTAAAAGGCAATTGCAAACCTTTAGATTTAAATTTGCAGTACTTAGAGAATTTTGTTTTTCCAAATGATACCAAAAGAACTTCTTCAGATCAGTGAAGTGTGACTTTATTTGATTAAAATGTTTTCTAGAATAAACTTTAAAGATGTACCATAACCATTTTATCAATAATTTATTTTAAAATATCTGTTTAAATGCACTAGAATGTTATTAATTTTTTTTATTTGAATGAAAATACACAACTGATGATATGCACCTTTTGTATTAACACAGCTAACAAATGTATTTTGGAGACTTCTGTCTAATTATTTATTATTAGATTAAAAAAAAGATTACTGCTATGTGGAGGTATTGCAGTAGGTGTTTAAATGCCTGGACTTGCAAAATGGAATAAAAGGGGATGTAGAATAGGACCTAGTTATCTCTCAACCCTCTCAAGTATGGAGCAGATGTTACATGACATTATAAGTTAATATGTAATGTTTGAGGTAATAAGAAGGCATTAATGCAGGCTCAGTGCAGGTGTGATGTTCCCTGTTTATTACATCAGCACCAGAATTTGAGGAGCAAATGAGTTTACAACTAGGTGGAGTTTTGATATTGCAGGCTGGTTTGCTTTAGTAAACCATCCAGAATGAAGTTACAGCAGGTGATAAAAAGTTGTTGCTGGAGCCTGATCTTCTATAGTGCTTAAAGCTGTATTCATTTTGTTTCCATGTTTCCATAGCGGTATTCATTTGGTACTGTAAATTTTACTTTGATTTTTTTTTTTTTGGGTGGGTGGTGGTAGCTCATTTCTGTGTGAAATGATACAGTAGATGTTCCATAATTAAGCTATTTTGAGCTCTAGAAGTGCAGGTTGTGATTCAGTGTTTTAAAGTCATTAACAGAGCAGCAGTACTACAGCACAGATATGAGTGTGTAGCTTGCAAAATACATTTACAGCTTTAAAATGCAGCACACACTCATTGGGCTTTATAATGTTCTTCTTTTGCTTCCTTTAGGAGCTTATATTTTCAGTGGAAGGTTTTAAACCCTTTGGGTGGTATCTCACATTAGTGCAATTTGGATTTTATTCCACGTTTGGATTAGTGGAATTGCAGCTCACCCAGGATAAAAGGAGAAGGTAAGAAAGCTGTTTATTTAATTATTTCCATTGCTGTTTTGTTCAGGTTAGCTTAGTTATTTGTTATTCCTATGTTTCTATTACCTAAAAACAATGTACACTTAGTTATTTCTCTTTTCCTTTTTTTCTTGAATTTAAAAGAAACCAAAATGTTTCTCTCATAGACCGTTTCATTCTGAATTTAATCTTTTAAGCCATTTTAAAAACATTTTGAGAACTCTGTTGGAGATGCATGATAAACCAAGAATCTTCAAATTAGATCCATGTTAACCCACAGAACTGCTGGTAGTGACACTTTGAACATGGGTCTGATAACCCTGTTTCTCTACATAAATATAATAGTAAAACACACATTTGTTCTTTCAACCTGTGAAAAAGTAATGTGCAAAAAAACAGGCAGATTTATTTAAAATTCCCCCAAATTGAATTTAATTGTATTGTATGTTTGTGATTTTTACTTATTCATAGCCTAAGGTGCTCAGGCCTTACCTCTTCATTGTAGTATTTCATGGAGCATATGGTTTACTTTAAAAAAATACCCAAACTCTTCTGCACACAAGATTTAAACAGAAATAAAATAGTCTTGCAGCGAAGAACTGTTTCACAGAAGGCCATGTGTTAGCTTGGTGTACATGATCTCCTGTATGTTGTGTCTTGGAAAGGGAAAGAAGACGTGTTTCTCTTGTCCATGATGTAAACATTTGAAGCACATGACTTCACATCTTGGTATTTTTTTGGCATGAGGTGGACAGCACTTTTAAGATCTTAAGTTCGTGCTCTCCTTTAACATGTTAACTAAAAGTAAACGCACTCAGACGTTATCAAATTACACGATTAAGAATCATCCTTTACTTTGTAGATTTTTTTCTATTTCTTCTATTTTTTTCAGTGCCCTTTATTGCACAAAATTGAGATCTAAGGCAGATTGCTATTTGCAGTGTGAAGACAAAGTGCGGAATAGGGTACCGCGTTTCGGCTCTTCTAGTGAAGGCGTTGTCCCGACCGTTAGGTGGAAGGTGGCGCTCTGTAGTCCAGGCTGGGTTTGTGGGGTCGAGCCTGGGCCACGTCGCTGTCCTCGACTGGCTGAGCGGCGCCGAGGGTGAGGTGAGGTTAGCCAGACAGGACCTGCTCTGCTCCCAGCAACACTGCTGCCCCCGGGCCTACTGGGTGCTGGGAGCAAGGGTCTCAAAGTGTGGGGCTGTGTTGCTAGTGCCGTGTTACAAGACGAGTGGCTTGAAGGTGAGCAGGGTGGAGGAGGAAGGAGCCAGGCTTCCTCATTCTCCCCTGTGCGCGGTTGCAGGGAGGTCTGCTCATATGAAAGGTAGTGGAACTGCCCCCTGTATCCCTTACTACCTCCCGAGTCCACAATGGCAGAAACTGTGACCGAGCAGGCCTGGGACAGTAGGAAGCACTGCAGGAGGGACATTTGCATGTGTGAAATACGCAAGCACTTGCTGGTCCACACTCGCTGCCATAGTGCCTTGGCTTAGCGAGAGAGAGGAGGTGCACTCCCTGAGGCCCTTTGTTCCCCTGTGATCGATCCAGGTGTGGATAAAAGTCCCAGAAGGACTATTCTACAGATGCTTTGAAGCTGAGACACCTGGAATCCATAATCCCAAATCCAGTCACAAGAAGCCGGTGTGCACTGCAGGCAGCCCTGCAGTGGTAAGAGTCGATACTGATCCCTGGCCTGCCAATGAACCAGTTAAACTGAGCAGAACTAGTCTGTTGAACAGGTAGACATCCTCATCGTCCCCCTCTGCCAGTTCATGTCGCATTCCTGGAGTCCATCTGCCCCATCTGTGCCTTGAGGCCTGCATGTCTGCGTTTGAGCTAATAGCGGACACACCATGCTCTGATCACTTGTGTAGGGTACCTGCCGGGCGATGCTTTCGAACTATTGCCAGGATGTTGTTAAGAAACGATAGGAAAAATCAGTCTTCAATTATAGACGAGCATTTTCCATCCTTCATTTTCGTCTCAGGGTTGCATTTGAGCACACACTGACAAACAGGCACATGCACAGTTTCAGTGCCACTATTAATCCTGCTATTAAACTCGACTCCTTTGCTTCTCATGTGTCTGTAATACTCATGCTTAGTATTTGAACACTGTCCCATTTTACTGCTCACATGTTTTCCTTTGCAGTTCGTTTACTTCATCTGCATTGCAACCTGCACCATTTCACTCCCACACGGCACTGTGCGGACTGCTCCACCAGCCACACGTTATTTTCCTTTTATAAGTGTTAAGTCTCCGTGGAGAACACTGTCAGTCGGAGTAAAAGTGTGTTGTACATGTGGGTGTATAACTTCTTTTTTTTTTTCTTTTTTGTTTATTACACAGAATACCTGGGAAAACGTATATGATGATAGCGTTTTTAACAGTTGGGACAATGGGCTTGTCAAACACATCACTAGGATATTTAAATTATCCAATGCAAGTCATCTTTAAGTGCTGTAAGCTCATACCGGTTATGATTGGGGGTGTCTTTATACAAGGTAAACCTTTAAGTTTTCTATTTAATGATCTTTAATACAGCCATATTTTTACAGTATGGAAAAGAAAGGTGTCTCATTTTTAAATTCATCCTTTGCAGCAGGTTAGGCTCTCTGGTGCCTTACTTTTTTGCTGTAATTTTTTTCTCTTTTTCCACATAATTGGTTCGTTTTTCCTTTTCATTTTAGACAAATTGTACAGGGTGGTTACTAAGTACTCATTCTTTCATCCCGAGTTGTCTTCAGAACGCTCCCCATTGGAGCGATCATGTGTTTTGTGATAGGGACTGTTGTCCCCCGGGGGGGTAGGTTGAAATCGACTGTACTCCCTTGTGATGTGAGCCCGATCTGTGATTGGGGCTTTCAAAGGAGAACAGCTTCAAAGGCTGTTGAATGAACTTGCTCCATCACCTAATCATCCTCAAGGCATTATTGCTTTTTAGCAAGACTTTTTTTGTCTGCCTTTGCGTGTCCATTCTACCCCCAGTTTTCTCTCCAATTATTTTTAAATGAAAACTATGGTTACCTCTTGTAATCCACAGTCTACTCAGTAGATTGTGCCTGGTGTTCAACCCTGATGATTTCAACCAGGCCTGAGACCTCTTTGTTAAATGCCCATCACCTTATTAGCCTGCAAAGCCCCCTTTTAAATAGGACTTTCAATAAAACAATTAATGTTTTACAAACATCTTTTCCGTTTTTTTCCCCCCACCTTCGACACATGTGAGTGTTTTAAATAGGGAATTTTGGAGGATGTTAGTGTGTGAGAATCTCCCTGCCCCTTACCTAAGTACTCACTACCCAGCATCCTCGTCTCAGCCTGGTCTTGTTTCTGTATTGTAGCGAGCGCTCCAGGTTCTGTGTCGGTCAGGCTGGAGGCGGCTTTGCAGGCTCTCTGACGGTTTTATTGCTCGTTTCGTGACAGTGGGGTGTGCTGGTCACGGATACGGGGGGTGAAATGTTCAGGCTGGACGTAGGAGGAGGGATTCTTTATTTTAAACTGATTTCTAAAAGTTTGTGATGACTGTTGTTTCTTTTAGTTGGTCACTATAAGTTAAAGTGGGTAGCTGCGTCAGCATGCATAGGCTGCAAAGGAACAAGTAATAGGTTTATTCCATGCTGAAAAAAAGAAGAAAGAGAACACAACGTTTCGGCCGTGGAGCCTTCTTCATGTGTCACACCTGAAGACACCTGAAGAAGGCTCCACGGCCGAAACGTTGTGTTCTCTTTCTTCTTTTTTTCAGCATGGAATAAACCTATTACTTGTTCCTTTGCACTATAAGTTAAAGTTACATTTCATTTAAATTTAAAGCCAATGCATTCGTACTTTAATTACTGTATTAAGGATGGTTATTTATGCCTTTTAATCATACATACTCTAAGCTGTAGTACATTATCTGATGGTATAGGGTTGGACTTGTTATCTGTGAATTTGGCTGTCAGTGAACCTTCGTGAATGTCAAGACCCCATTGTAGTTGTGACTTAATGTATAGAGAGAAAGGCAGCTCTTCTATAAAGGACATTTTATATATTTTACATTCCTGATATGTAAACGCCATTCCTGCCAGTCACACCGTAATAGTTGAGAGGTTTTGGTTGTTTTGGTTTTTTTATTGAAGGGTTCTCGTGCGTCTTGTTTAATGTTCTTTGCATTACTCACTTTCTGAAGTTGCAGTCTGCAGGAAGAGCTGTGAAACTTGCGTCCACCTTTTGTCTTCTCAGATGTATGCTGAATGCCATTACCAGAGTGCTCTTGAGAAAAAGTACTCCAAGATTCGATGTAGAAATGGATCTGTTAGCGTGTTTTGGAAGGGCAGCAGTGTAGAGAAGAGTCCAGGGACCTGGACTGAAAGCTTGTGGGTTCACACACCAGAGGGTCACCCCTGTTGCACCCTTGAGCTGGAAACTGTATTCAGTTTGCTCCAGGGAAATGTTCAGCTGCATAAATGGTGTAAATTTGTCTACGGTTTAAAGCTTGAGCTAAATTAATTATCATGGTCTTTGCCAGATGGAGAAGACAGGCTAATTGGTCTTTTCTCGTTTGTGACCTTTCCCATGTTCTTGTGGAAAAACCTTCAGATGTGTGTTCATTGTTTTACAGGAAAGCGTTACAACGTCATGGATGTGTCAGCTGCTGTTTGTATGAGTTTGGGTCTCATTTGGTTTACCTTGGCAGACAGTAAAATAGCTCCAAACTTTAATGTGACAGGTAAAGTAACATTTACATTTTGTCTTTGAAATATTTACGGTTTATTGAAGGTATAATGCAAACTAAATACTGTACCTATGAGGAGCACACATGTATTATCTCTTTTGTGGCTGCCAATTGTAATCAGGAAAAAGGTGTGTCATTTGCATACATTTGGTATTGTTGCCTAAAAAGTATTAAACACATGGCTCTGTATATTGTATATTTTAATTGCCAAAGAACACCATGCAGACACTAACGTAAGGGAGTGTTTGAATTGTCAATATTGAGATGCTGATAAATGTGCAGGATCATTCACATATTTGGCTTGAATATTTATCTTTTTAAAGGGCATTTAAGAACATTTAATTTGACCCGAAGTAGTTGGTTTAAATGGATTATCCGTGTTATAATATTAACACTTTTAACACTTAACCAGAAAATTGATAACTTTGCATAACCTGAATTTTCTGCAGTCTTTTTTAGAAAATTAATGGAATAGCAGCCTACGTATGGATCAGGTCTGGTAAAAGACAGCCATTGAAATTCTCCATCAGCTGTGAAGCTGGAACACCTTAAAATATATTAAATGGCCACTTTAAAAGATGCCCCTCAGGCAAATCTATTCGCCACTTGAATTTAAACAGAATGCACTAACTCCCGCAGACAGTAACTCTTGTTTTATTATTATTGCATGTATATTTTTATATGCTGTAGTCCAAAAGAAGAAATGCCTGTACAGCAAATAGAATATCAAGCTAGGGAATGCAACTCGAAGGGCAAGTGTAGTTTTTCATTTAACAGCAGCCTCAAAATAAATCCCTTTTACTTACTCTTAAAATTCCTTCTTTATTGAATGTGAGATTGCTTTGTGGCAGCCTTGATTCTGAGTCCAGAAGTACGGGAGAAATGCAGGTGCATGGTGATCTGCAGGGCTGCTAGAGACCACGTACAACAAGACATACTGTTTTTGACACCAAGTCAAATACTTTCTTAGCAATCGGTGTGTTCTCATGTATAGTGAAATGACTTTGTTGTATCAGAGTATTAACTCCGAGATGATAAATGCATAGAAATGCTCATGCCTAGGGCAATTCGAGCTAGTTCATAGTCACCAAAGACTAAATTTCCTTTCCAATCACATTATTGAACATGTAACCGAAGGAGCTGAAGCTAAAATAGAACATTGGCATCACTGGGGTTTTTTTTCCTGCCCTATCCTGCGTTTTTTTGTGTTACGATTGTTAATACTGTTCGCGTTTTTAGATAAACCTTTTGTATCACGGTGCAGTTTACAATGCAAAGTAGTCTGCGTGACTATATTGCAAGAATTTGTAAGGGAAGTGCATCTCACTAGGCGCAAGACTTCCATGGTTCCTGTGCTACATGTAAATATAGTGCTGTGTTATGTATAGGTATACATATAACGAAAGACACTATATTAAATAAATTGTTATGGTTTTGAAATGTTGCTGGATTATTTGCAATCCGTGTTTTAAGTCACGCTCTGCGTTTCTGTGCTGTTCACAGGGGTGCTGCTGATCTCTCTGGCCCTCTGTGCCGATGCTGCAATAGGGAATGTGCAGGAAAAGGCCATGAAGCTGCACAATGGTTCAAATTCAGAGATGGTAAGCAATATTTTCCACATAACATCACTTGATTTAAATCCCGTGCTTTTCGCTGTGTGTGCTAACATTTCTTCTTTTTTTTTATTGTTTCCACACATTTTTTTAGATCATGTAAATAGTGTTGAGTCTTTTTCATAAGTAGGCTCTTCTAGTTCAGTGTTACCATTTTGTATTTATAGTTTACTGCATGGAATACTCTACACATGTTAAACATCATCTTCCAAGTCTTTTCCTGGCCTTGAATTTTATCTTAATCATTTTGAATTTCATTTGGTGATCCTGTGGTGTTTGCCCATACTACTGTTTGTGTATGTGATTAGTTTACTGACCGTAAACTACAGTAGATTAATGATATGATTTAAGAAGAGCAGGGGTACTCGTAAAGATTCCTCTGGTACTCCACTAATTGCGTCATCACAATTTGACCTTTAATCCCTTGTCTTGACGCTATTTTCTGTTAATCAGTTCTGAGTCTGAACACACATTTCCCTGAATACCTAACTGTAATTTGATAATTTATGTTTATGAAAAACTTTATCAGAAGCCTCCTTAAACTCTGTGCATGTTTCGATATAGGTGATCCCCTAGTTTAGATCTAATATTGTGGTTCATAATCTTTCATGTAATAGAAGTCAGATTTATGGATGATTACTGCATTAGCAATTCTTCCAGTCTATAGGCACTATACCTATACGGTATATACTAATACCCCTGTGTTGAGTGACCATGAAGGAGATGAATCAGTAGCTTATCAATTACATCTTGTTTCCTTAAGTCTAATTGATGGATACCACGTGGTCCTGAAATGTGTTGATCTTGTATGCTTCGAGCACCCAAAACACTTCTGCCTTTTCTGTGTTAATGCTATTAAATAAAAACCTTCCACTGCAAATTGATAACTCATTCCTTAGCAAACAACTGAAGAACAATACTCGTTAAGTACATTATTTCCCTTTTTATTCTCTGTACGTTTCTTATGATTGCTCGGAAAACATTTTACTACATTCTTTATAGTCCTTTTTTTGCTTCCTTTTGTGTTTATAGTACTGAAAAAAACTTGTTACGTCTCAGTTGCGGTATTCCTTTCCTTTTTTTGTCTTGCCCTTTCTGATATCTTTTTTTTATCCTTTTTTATGTTTTGTAATTCATTGTGTTCCTTTCCTTTAACTGGATCCTGTAGTTTCTTTTAAATCATTTTATAAAGTGCTTTCTTTCCCTTATATTTCCTACCTGATTTGTGGAATCATTTGGGATACTGTTTGTTTTTTTTTTTGCTCACTCTCGCTCAGAACTGTCACCGTTCATTCTTGATGAATTTCGTATTTGTTCTATGTGGTTTTAGCTGACTTAATCCCTGTCTCGGTCCTACAAAGCTTCTAATGTTAATGTTTAGAATGTTTTCGAAGTGCTTTAACCTTCTAATGACGATGTTATTTCCGCAGATTGATTTAGTCATTGATGTAATGTGTGTGAACTGGACACACGTCTTTGTTTCTTTTCTCTTTCAGGTCTTGTATTCCTATTCAATAGGTTTTGTGTATATATTAATTGGCCTGTTCTTCATGGGCGGACTAAGTCCTGCAGTGTCCTTTTGCTCTCAGGTATTTTAAGTTGTTTTTATTTTATTAAAAAAAGTTCTGCTACTTTTGGCTGAGCTGTAAAGCCCCCCCCCCCTTCAATTAATCAGCTTGTGTTACTTCCCTCTGTGTTCCATCTGTTAATCCTCCCTAACCTCGCTGCAGCCTTTGTTTAACACTACTCTTTTATCAGCATGTGTTGATCTGGGAATCTCTGTCCCCCCCTTTCTCCTGGTTCTCCACCTGCCTTGTTGATCTGAATAGGTTTGCTTTTACTGCTTCAGTGGTGTCCCCCACGGCTGTGTGTTGGGTCCCCTGCTCTTCTCTCTTTACATGCACTCCCACGAACCCCTGATCTCACAGCTTCTCGTACCATTTCAATCATCGCCGGGTGCCGTTCGGACTCTTTTCCGTTTTTTCTGTCCACCGGTACCCTCATCTCCTCCCAATGAACCAGACCTGTTCCATCCCCGATCATCTCTAAACACCTCCTCAGGGCTCATGTTTTAGACAGCCCCTGAGATCTCTCTCAGCCCGTCATCTACTACTCGCCCAGACTGCCCTCAGCAGTGGCAGGGGGCGAATACAGTGTGTTGTAATTTACATACCATTTTCACTCTGCTCTGAACAGGCATTGCATTTCAAGCACTTGCTTGCCACTTATGTCTTGTCATTTGTATATAAACAATATACAGTACTATATGAAATTGTAAATTGTATATGATTATTTTTTTACTTCGTTTGCATTTTTATATTTACTTTATGTGCAACTTAAAATGTTGTAGATAAACAAGTTATAGATGTATATTTCATTATTTTCAGCATCCTGTGAAGACCTATGGGTATGCATTCTTCTTCTCTCTCACTGGATATTTTGGCATTTCATTTGTGCTTGCATTGATCAAGCTCTTCGGTGCTCTTGTTGCAGTTACTGGTAAGAAGAACCTTTTTCATAATTTAATTTAGAAAGTCTCATCCTTAAAAATTCCACAAGCAGCTGCATATTTAGTACAGCTACCCAACCAAAATTCAAGTCCATTTTCTTATCCTGCATTTTATCTGATGATTACTGATTTTTGTCTAGCTTCTGTCTTCTTTTACCGATTTAAAAGAGTAATTGTAATTGTGGGAATCATACGTGTAAGCTTCTTGTTGTCTCCTGATTTATATCAAATAGTTTTAATCATTTTTATTTCTGTCTTGTAATTATACTATCACAGGGGAAAAAGAGTTTGTGCTTTTCATATACCATACTACCAGCTGAATTCATATGACCTGTAAAGATTATTTGCTTCCTCATTCTGTTTCTTTTTTTTTTGAGAGTCTGATTTTATTAGATTTCTCTGACTTCTCCAAAATAAACTTGGTGGAAGACAGGGTTTTCTAGGGCAATTAATCCGATTTGTTTGTTTTGTTCCTTGCAAATATATTGAGGTACTCACTGCATAAGTCTCCATAGAAGCATTTTATATGTAACTCTGACTTAGGTGTTAGAGAAAGAAATAGTGCTTAAAAGTCTTCTCCAAGTGCTGTGTTTTGTTTGTGCATTCACTATGAGTATTCAGATCAGGCTGGAATGTTCCTTTGTAACTTAAAGTATTTGTATATTTGTACTATATTTAAATCAATGAAGTACAGTAACTGTTTTCTTTCCTAAAATAGCTAGCGTCTAAGAAAAGACACATGAATTTGTGTAATTGTAGACCAAAATCATGTAATTTCGAGGAAAGCTTTTGAATTTCTCTGAAAATAGATTGATTTAAGATTTGGGGAGAAACTGTTTTTGTAAGCAGTTAGATTAACACTGTTGCTGAAGTAATCCGTAGCAGTACCCTAAATCACCTATGCTGCAACATTGCAGAGGTATTAATTATCTTTTTTATATACTTTATTCACTTACTGTTTTTGTAAAGAGAAATTACTACTCTATAAATTAACACCATTCAACATTAGAGTTGAAGATGATCAGATTAAATGTTCAAATTGTTTAAATAACCTTAATGATATCTGAGTAATTAACTTGAAATTTGAAGGAGAATGTGAATTAAACTATGCTGGATAAATACAGTTATTATAATATTTTTAAATACAGTGACCTGAAATACTGTAGAGCAAAATTGTTTTTTTTATTCTCTGAAATATGTCAAATCCCAGAGAAATATGGTTTAGCAAGCATTTATGCTGTGCACACAAGCAGTTTATAATTTTTATTTTAATATTAATTTCAGTGACCACAGGGAGAAAAGCAATGACGATCGTGCTTTCGTTTCTTTTCTTCTCCAAGCCTTTCACTTTTCAGTAAGTATCATTAACCTGCACTTTCCAAATCTAGCTGATGGTGTTTAGCTGGATTTGTGTATTCAGCTATTTTACATTATATTTACCCTCTCAAACAAACTAAAGGGTTTCAATGCTCAGGCTTAATGTGTAACCATTTAGTCATTTAGGTTCTGTTTGAATAATTGTAAAATTGTACAAGGTTAATGTAAAAGAGTTACAGTTGTAAAGAAATTATATCGTATTCACAAAGCAAGAGAAAACCTATACTTAACAACTAGATAACAAAACTTTTTTTTTAACAAAAGGTAACATTTAAAATGATGTAATAAAAAAAGGCTTGCTTTCTTTTACTTTTAGAGAAAAGTATTTCTGTAGTCCCTGATGTCCTTTTGTCCTTAAATTTTCACATTACAGCATTTTTCAAGTACTTTTGTTCTGGTTTTGTTTTTCCTGCTTAATATAGACAAGACCCCTAAACTCTTTATGATATATAATTTGGAATGAAGTGTGAATAGGAGGGAAGGGATCTCAGGCTGCTTACATACCTAAAGAGACATTTGAGGGTATTGGACAAACAGTCATAGTCAAGGGAAACAATGTCCACACTTAGTACTCAAGATACTCATTACTTAAGATATCTTATGCAACCATGGCTTGGATCCATGTAATTGTTCGAGAAGCATGGCACCATAGGATGATAAGAATATTGCATAAGTTTTTGAATAGTAGAACTAAACTAAGGTTCATGCAAAATAAAGCTGAGTCTAACCTTATTGTGTGTGGTAGAGAGGAGTAAACATTTCCTCCTCTGTGTTGCTGAGGATACTTTCTTTTTCTTTATCTTGCCTCAATTTGCCTGCAAATGATAAAAAAAAACACCGATATGCCTGTATGAGTATCATGGGGTTATGTAAATTTCCGTGTAATTATGTGATAGTGTCTTATTAAAAAAATGTTTATCATATCAAGTAAGTTAAAGCTGTGCATTGGAGAGAGCAATGCAGTCGGTGGTGATGCAGCACATTTCCAGCACAGTTTCAAAACAGGCATTTACCTGGGAGACCATGTCATCCATTCTGCAGGTTTTAACTTGCATTAACAAAGGTATATATATATAAAATTGATTTTTATTTCTTTTTATTATTGTTATGCAGGTACGTGTGGGGTGGCCTTCTGGTCGTGCTTGGGATTTTCCTGAATGTTTATAGCAAAAATAGGGACAAAATGAAATTGCCGTCTCTGGCGGACGTGAGGAACAGGATCTTATCGGTAAAAAAGACAAGATCGTTGTCTCAGACTGTGTGAACAGCACCTCATCATCGTGTCTCATTCCTGGCTTAACGAAGATGTCGGAGACCGGAAGCTCGGGGCTGAGGGTACAGTGCCCACAGAGATCCTTCTTGATAATTGCTGGTTGGTGGCAGGAACTCCTGCAAGAGTTTTTGAAAGCAAAGGGAATGGCTCACCTGGCCAGAGGACACAATCCTGCTCTGGGATTAAATATAATGGCTAATTTAATTTTAAATCAAGTTGGAATCGGGGAACCTAAAAAATGGCATTCTTAATGACTGTGTCCACATTGAATGTGTACCAAAACATATTCTAAACAACTTATTTTCTACTGTAAATGACAGAGGTGTCAAGAGATATGTATGCATCCCATTACATTTATATATATGTTGCTTTGAGGTTGTTTTTTTTATAAATGTCTCAAATCCATTCCAGTCAGAATACATTTTAAGAATATGCCTACGTTTGAACTGTCAAAACAGAAAATCATAACCATTGTGCATTCTTGCTGTTTTTTTGTGAAAAGCAAATACCTTACTTGTAGAGCTGATTTCCTCAGAAATGATGACTTCCGGGGTGTTTTTCCAATCATTCTGTCTCCTGGAAAAGGGTTGGTGAAGGTATAGCCGATGAATGTGAAAAGTTAGCTCATGAAAGTAAGAGATCCTGTTTTTAAGAAAAACAGTAAAATGTTTTTTTTTTTACTTTGAGCACTGCTCTGTTTCTTTGGTACTGAGTTCTGGTTACTAATAATTTCTTATCTGCTTCGTATAGAAGTGAGTCAAATCACAAACCTGTTTCTCCATTAAGGACACAAGAAAGGGTACATTCTGGCCAGTCTACCTTGCTTGGTTGCTAGTAGGTCCTTATATGTAAGATACCCAAAACATGCTTTGTTAGTAATACTCAGATAAGAACAGCCCCTTGTCTTTCAAATGAGAATTTATTCAAAGAAATAACATTTACTTGAAAATAGTTTCAGAAGACTTGAGTAAAACCTTAGTTCTGATCAATACAGTTGCTTGTTTCTCTCAAGAAACATCCTCAGCAATTCTCTCTCCCTGAGGTGTGGACATGGAGTACCTGATACTGTACATGTCACAGGACAGATCTTGAAAGCACTTGTGATCCGACTGTATTTTCCATTTAGTAAGTTAACCTTTCAGTAATGTTTTCACAAATGACAAGATTTCACAGTGGGATTTCAAAAAGTGTGATGGGTTCTTTCAGTACTATGAGCAGATGGGGACATGTTTCTCTACTTTTTAGAAGAGTTTGCATGTTCCTGCCTCTGTGCACTGGTTTTGAGTTGCTTTTGGGAACCCACCGAAAGTGGATCCAATTGAAATGTCAAGGCCACACATCCTAAAGACGGACAGGAAAATAGCTCCAGGGACAATAAGGGAGGCTTATTGCTGTTGGCAGATTACAGCTCATCTCTTGTTTTTGTGTATAAACAAGTTTTAATAAAGCGTCACATGGTCTGGAGGGTGGTGTAGGTGAGTTAATATGCTTTCATCATGCCTGTAGTTTCATGTTCTTTGGGCCTTTTGAAAAATGTGTCGGCACAGCAGCAGCAGAGCCATCGTTATATTCTCTTCACTAGTTACCTTATATATTAAAATAATAAAAGGGTAGGTTTTAGAAATCATTGATTGGTGTGAAAGCCCTAGAAGAGCACTATACCCATCGAACCAGTGGGAGTCTTGAGTATTCTGCTCCCTTCACCTGTGAAGGGTCGTTCTCGGATGGGGTCAGAAATTTCCATGAAGTTCCATAGGACTCGGATGAGTACAGTACCAAGGGATCCCCTCGGATGCTCCGGTGCCTCTACTATGTACTGAAGTCCTAACATGTAGCGGTGCATCGACATTGTTGTGTGTAAGCTGCTGTATTTCAACACGCATCATGCATTGGTCTCCTGCCAAGATCAGGTTTTCCACACAGCTGCTCAAGCTGTTGCCTAATGAAATATAGCTTTTCACAATTAGAAAAATAATGTAAGAAAAAAATAATAGTCCTAGTTTTCGATGAAGATCAACTAACACTAACCAGCATAAATAAAGGAATGATACAAAAAATCACGATAGTTATTTTTATTTTCAAATATGTTTTTTTGTATTACCAGCAAGTTAAGAATTAGCATAATCTAAGTGATGCTGCTTCTCTGAGCAACAACTCTTGTTTAAGTGCTCCAAGCACTCCATTGCAAAAAATACTGTAGAGAATCTGAATGAAAGAAATAAGAATACTGGATCTATGGTATGTTTATATTTATCCATTTACATTTGAAACTTATGGTATATTTACATTTATTATCTCTTTAATAGATGCCAAACCTAAAAATCCTTGCAAAGGTAAAGGAAAACAAAGAATTCACTGTATGTCAATCAAAGAATATTCAGCTAAACATGTCCTTAATGGGCTGGTTTTCATGCATCACAGACACTTTCAGCAGTTGTAAGCAGTTGCTAGGTGTTTGGCTTACCAGTGCCCATGCGGAATACTTCTGTCAGTCGCTTGCAGTATTTACTTCATCAAGATACCAAATACGGGGAAGTGTTATTTGATAGAAAAGGCCAGAGGCGCACCAGCAAAGAGGTTCACAGACCTCTGAAGAAGTGACAGGATCACACAAAAAAAAAAAAAAACCCTGTCAAGAGAACAAGAGCCTTTAAGATAACTGACATGTCTAACTTCATAAAGGTAAACACATTAAAGGCTGTGTTTCCAGCTTTGGCTTCACACAAAGGTGTGCTTCAGATGGATTCAACTGTAGAACGGCACGTGCTGAAGTACTGTATCTATTGGATACAACTGGAATGATAAAAGTAAGTAAGAACAGTGGCGATAGCTCCAGAGAAATCATTCTGAATATATTTTACGTGGAAAAATCTCCCTGTTGTTCGCAGCTTAATGTGCAGGCACATTTTTAATGTTCGCCAGCTCTACAGGGGGCAAAACATTGCTGTGCCAATGGTCCTCTGGAAAAAGAAAGCAAATTACCATCTAAGAAACAGGCAGGAAAAGTAACGTGGAGCAATTAGTCATGCCATATCTCAGAAGACCTGGCAGCTTCCCAGCACTGACAAACTTGACATCTCCTTCTCTGGGGTTTCTGGGCTCGCAGCAGAGCCGCAGATGTACGGTGCCTTTCCAAATTATTTTATTTCTCTTTAATCTTTCATCCTGACACGGCAGATAAGAAACCTGGCCTCTACTTATCTATATGGGTTTCTGAGGAAAATGCAGACGCTTGTCGATTTTACTTGACTGCATATCGATGTCCAGTACGCGCCCGCGCGCGCAGGCACGCTTTAGAAAGGCAGCTCCAGATTAAAGGCAGGGAGTAGACCTGGATGTATTCCACCGGTTTTTGTCAAGACAGCATACACAAAAGCAATGCTGGGCAGCCGAGCTGTCTGCCTCGCCCTCCAGTCTCTGAGCGGTCAGGGTTCGTGAACACTGCTGTAGTGTTTGCAGACACTGAAATCCTAAAGGTGTCCACTAGGAACCGGCTGGAGGCTTATCCTGATGAGGCCATGTCTGTGAACAGCAGAGGGAGTTCGTTTTTTGAAAAGTGAAACATTATGGCTGCTTTTTTGAAACATTCAGTGCCTCACAAACGTTTTCTGCCCCTTGTGAGGGGTATCCCATTTTGTGAAATTTCAAAATGATGTAGAAGAATTTTTTCAAGCTTGACATTTTCTTCACTACCAAACGAAAGATTTACGGTACAAGGATAAGATCTGTTACGGTTAATGTCAGCAAATACTAAAGAGGAAAAACTTAAATATGTTGACTGGATAAATATTCAGACTCGTGGTATTTGATGGAAGCAGCTTTGGCAGTAATTACAGGCATAGGTCTCAAAGGTGGCAACTCCGCTCACTGCTTGCTTGGTGCAATTATTGCCCATTCTCCATTCGCTCAGATTCGCCCAGTCTCTCTCAGGTTTATTGAGGACAGCAGTTTTCAAGTCTTTCCACAGATTCTCAGTGGAATTCAAGTCAAGGCTGTGCCCACTCAAGGACATTCCCTTTCTAGTTCTTAAACCACTCCACTGTACCCCTGACCTTGTTCTTTAGGTCATTGTCCTGGAAGGTGAATTTTTGTCCCAGTTTTAGTTCTGAAGCAGGTTTTCTTGTTAGATGTTCCAGTACTTGGCTTCTTGTATGTACTGAAGCTCATCTGGTCACTGCTGATGGGAAGCAGAACTATAGTATAATGCTGCCACCAACATGCTTGACAGTAGGGATGGTGAGTGATGCACATTGTTGGGTTTGTGTCAGATGCAACCCAATTGCGTTGAGAGAAGAAAATTCTCACTTTGTCACGACTGACCACAAAACGTTTTGCTACATGTTTGCAGTATCACACTCTGTTGCAAACCTGGTGGAGATACAGTATTGTTGACCCAGGGACATTTTCTCACATCTCAGCCACTAAACTCTGACTCTTTTAAAGTTACCATTGGCATCACAGGGATGTCTCTAACCAGTTTCCTCCATAGCCTGCCGACCAGTTAGGAAGTACAGCCTGATCTACAGTAGTTTGTGTCTTGAGTGCTTTCCACTTCTTCGTGACTGACTTCCCTAGGCTCAAAGAGTAATTGAGGGTCTTTGAAATTATTTAACCCTTTCCGTGCCCTTATACAACTTCGCCCCTGAGCTGTTCTGAAAGCTTTTCAGTCTTCATGGATGGATCTTTGCTTGAAACGCACTACCTGACCATGGGACCTTACAAACACAGCTGTATTTGTTCTGAAAGCATGTGAACCAGTACTATTGCATGCACACAGATGCCACTGAGCTAATAGTTACAGTAATTCTGCGCATCTGATTGGTTTAGGATGCCAAAGCAAAGGGCTAGAAAACATATGCAATCAAACTAAATTTTGTTTAGTTTGTTATTTTTGCTTTGAATGTGTGGAGTCTGTTGTTTACTTAACAACTATTAATTGCTACATCAAAGTGTCATAACTGCACATTTAAAGGGAATTATGTGAAAATGGTGGGGAAAAAATAATATTTTTTGCAAACCACTGTATTTTGTTTTCTGTAAACTTTCTAAAGCCTATAGACCTTTTGTGCATATACAGTATATACACCACAATGTTTTAATAAATAAATACATTTTAGTTTATTCTTTATTCAATCTCGTTTGCCCCCCAAGCATTTTAAATTCTGAATAAAGTAATACAAGGGTAACAAGCTGAAGACGTACAGCATGTGGCAGCACCTCTAGAAATGTGCAGTTGAGCCCTGCCAGATGTGGCCCAAGTGACACCAAGCCTAAATTATAAAGCAATCAAGATGGGCACTGATATCTCCAAGACAGCGGTGACCAGATTTGCTCCTCAGTGTCCACTGTCCAGAAGGTTTTATATGTC